TACTACTTAACTGATTAATCACATCTTAAGTATAACATCTGCCAGGGGCCTTCAAGACACCTGCTATTTGAGGTAGTGGGGAAATAACAATAGTAGTATGGAGTGGAGGAATAGCCCATTGTCTCCCCTTCCAGACTAACTGGTAAGAGTCCTAAACTCCTCCCCAACCCTCCTTCAGGTCCAATCTCCTTACCCAGCCAGCTTCAGTTCCTACTTCTCAGCTCCTTATCTGATCCATCACCTCCCTACAACTGCCTCTCTCTTAGTCCTACTCTTTCTCCCCAAAGTCCTCATCAAATCGGAATCTTCCTCCTTCACTGGTATCTTGCTTCCTTCAGTCCCAGTTCTCTTGTCACTCTCTAATTCCCTATTAGATCTTCTTCCTCTCCCCCCAGCCTGTTTCCAAGGCCCCATCTTCTTGTCCAGCCCATCTCAGTCTTCCCCAACTCCTTGTTCAATCTCGTTACTTTATCCCCAGCCACTGGTTCCAGTTCCCCAACCACTGCCACCTGCTTTCTTAACTGGTCCCTGGCTCCCAATTTACTACTTTCCCTCTCCCACTATGACTTCAGTCCTCTCTGTAGTTCAGTCTGATGGCTTCTTGCCTAATCATTGGCAGGAGTATTTTTAAAGACAATCTTCCTATTCTCAGTTCTGGTTCCTAGCCCCATCCTGGTCAGCTGATGTTGCCCATGTATTCCTAGACTGTAGCATCCTCAAACACTTTGCAGGGGTTGTGTTTCTGCAGCCTGGTCAGCTAGAGGTGCCACAGATGACTGAGCATGCTCAACGACAACAGAATATTTGGAAATGTTATCTGATAAACTCGCCATTAAACGTATGCAAACTGCATTTTTTCTCCAAAACTTGAGAATGGTAAAAAGAGAAAAGAAAAAACAAAACAAAACAAAACAAAACATTCCTGACAAACGAAATCTAGCTAAACTTCAAGCCCCTGCTTCAAAGCGTGGAAAAGCTCGAAATTTTCAAAGTAAAGATAATCAGAATATTTTAATATAGGCCAAAAACAAAGGCAGGCAAAGCAAGGCAAAACAAAACAAAAACTCCTTTGCACTTCAGAAATGGCCAAACTGTTACATGTTCAGTTTTCCAAAAAAGGCTGATGCAGATGCTTGACATCAAACATTTCAGACTGAGTGAATAAAGTTTGATAAAATTATAAACCATTGAAAACAAAGACTTATAACAAAGTGTCATGAAAACGTAAGAAAGGACAATACTAACAGCTCTGTTTATAATTAAACAACAGGAATCCATCACATTATTTCTGATTACGTACCTATTCTGCACAGAAAGGTTCTAAAATACCTGTGTTCTGAGAAAAAAAACCTCTATGTCAATAGCTGGATGTTATCTTGTGGGCTAAATCTGCCACACATATGCAAACATATACAGAGTTAGTTGCTATATTATTTTTACATTGATTTAACACAGGAAACACAATGTTCCTATTCATTTAGTTTAATTACACTTTGTTGTCTGTCTTCCATAGGAGCAACACATGATTTTCAGGCTATTGAAAGAAGCATAAGTCTGCTTAAAAATCACATATGTAGTTCAAACTCCTGGGAGGTCTAAATGAAAGTCTGAATGAGTTCAGTAGGTACGTCACAGGGAATGTTTTAAGAACTACACAAACAAGCCACTGAATTGCAATTTATTTTCTCATACAGAAACTGTACCTACTTGCCTACTTCTAACAATCCCGATTTTAAACTTCATTACACAAAGCATGTTTGGAGTGAGGTAAGGGAAATCTCCAGGGTAACAGGAGCTCCACGCCACATCAGTTTGCTAGGCTGAATGAAGTCCAGGGCTGGCACATGCATTGCATGGTGGCAAGAATCCAGAAGTACAAGATTGACGTCAGCGGCTTGTGTAAATCATCTCATCTTAGCTCTATTCTATAAACAAAGTGTTTAGTTTTTTTTCTTGCTTTAAATTGTTTCTCTCTTTCTTACTGGAAAGATTTTTTTATGGGCCACCACACAATCAGGCTAATCCAGCTCCTAAGAGTTATGTTTTCTCATAACAGTGAAAATATTTGGAGAAACATCTACCATAAATGAAACCACAGCAATCTGAAAAGCAAACTTGCAATCAAATTTTTCTTTTGGTTTGAAACTGTCAGTGTTTTGTGGGTGGGTGGGTGTGGGCGTGTGTGGAACGTGCACATGGATGCACACATGTACATCTATGTCTCTGTACTTCAAGTAACTCAAACCAGAACTTAAGAAAAACAGCTTTATATTTTTTAAAAGACCAATACAAGCTAGGAAGGTCAGAAGAGAATCAAAATTATAAATGTTGATAAATTGTTATGCTAGATTTTTAGCAACATACCTACACAACAGTTTCAAAAATTTATCATAGAGATGTATTATAGATATATCTATCTATATACAGACAGAATATTTTGACTGGAAAGAGAATGGAATGCCTGTATTAATGAACTGCTTTGTGCATAGGCAACTGGTAGGGAGGGCCCAGGGGGGCATGTGCCACTGCGGGTGCTTGCCAGCCCCAATCCTGCCGCCACTGACACCTTCTGTGGGTGCTCGCCAGCTGCCATTGATGCCAACGGCAGCTTCTGCAGGTGCTTGCCGGCCCCATCCCTGCCGCTGAGGCCGCCGGCAGCTTCTGTGGGAGCTCGCCAGCCCCATCCCTGCCGCTGATGGTGGCTTCTGTGGGTGCTCACCAGCCCTATTCCCCGCTGCCGGCGGCAACACTGGCTTCTGCGGGTGCCCCCCTAAACTCAAGAGGCACCAGTCGCCTATGGCTTTATGCAACATATATTTATTTATTTGTTGTTTTTCAGGCTACTCCCAAAAAGCAAGATAACGTTTATTTTGATAGTACATTTTCATATTTAAAGCACGTTATGAATTTTAGCTATTTCATGTCCAAAAATGCCTCTGTGCAGGGGTGGTATGGTATGAACCCATATTCAGATGGATTAGGGGAGACAGAGAAATTCAATGCTATGCCCAAGACCATCAAGAGAGTCAGCACTGTAACACGGTACAGTAGAACCTGGATCATTTGTATCCGAGTGGTTTGGAACCCGCTTAATTTGCAGGAGGTTGCTGAATTAAGGACAAACAGTTCCTCTGAAATAAAAGCCACAGCGAATAGCCACAGCGAATAGCCTCAGCACTTCCACGCAACTGTTTGCTGAGGCTCTGTTTACCCTGAGTATTTCACAAACCCTCGCATTTGTAGGAATGTAAGGAGCTGGGCCTTGTTTAAAATTCAGGATATTCTGGCTCCCATGTCAGGCTCACACTGGTATTATTCTCTTTCAGATGGTTTTGACTGGTGAGAAAATCTTAAAAGTAAAACAACGAAACAACCTCCCCCCACCCCAGCTCACCCCCCTTATGTCCTTTAAAAGGATTCAATATTGAATATTTCCAATTCAGCTAATGTCTAAGATCGTTACCACTGGAATCTCTTTCTCTCTCTATTTTACTGTTTAGCTTTATGCTACACACTTTCCCATACTTCTTTTCACTAATAAGCACATGACCCTTTTTCTCTATATTATACTGCTTAACCGCATTGTATGATCTCTTTTCTAATACTGGCAAAGATACTGATGTGGATGAATGGCACACAAGATTTAAAAAATCTGACTGGAAAACTAGTAGCATAAATTCTGTTTCCTTCCAAAGGACCTGCAAACATGTCTTTTTCACTTAGATTAGGGCTGTCCAACTGGCAGCCCATGA